CCCATCCTAAGTTGCTTCGAGGTTGACTGCGAGATACTGGGTACCCTATTTGCCACTATTTGCCACTATTCGAAACTGTTCGCCACTATTCGAGGCTATTCGCACTATTCGCTATTCGCTATTCGGGACTATTCGCTTTTCGCTATTCGCGACTATTCGCTATTCGCTATTCGGGTTTTCCAGACACCCGTACTCGAGCATTTTTTTTTTTACCCTCAACCTTTACGAAGTCAAAAGAGATTACTAGTTGGTTCTTTTTGCTAGACAAATATTAATCAAGTTAAACTGCTTAAAAGATCAGCAAATATTGCATGTTTGACTGTTCCTTATGTGACTTATATTACAATTTTAACTCAGTAACTTATTATTATAATTAATAATAATAATAATAATAATAATAATAATAATAATAATGAAAGGTGAAGGCACAGCCGGGCCTAATGATGAGCAAGCTTGACTCTGGATCAAACAGTCAAGGTTTGAGCCCTGGATTGGGCCACTGCACTCATCGTCTGTGTTTTTAGGAAAGACATTTAACTCTCACAGTGCCTCTCTTCACCCAAGTGTATAATTGGGTAGTGGTGAATTTAATACTGGGGGTAACCCCACAATGGACACATCCCATTCAGGGGGGAAGTAGTAATTGCCGTCATTTAACTGCATCTAAAAGTCCAATCCATTTTAACGTACCAAGCTCGAGTAACATCATGTTTTCACTTCAGACTGAAGTACTAAATGGCTACCGCCCCAGACCCAGATGAAGTGCTCCGTTCAACGAGAGGAAAAGAAAATTTTCAACGTATTTCACGACTGTTGATAAGTGGAGGTACTACAGTACTGAGAGAGATTTTTGACCTGATTTGTCCACCAAGCAATCTTCCCTCAATGCTAAAAAATCGAGCCACAGAGAAACAACTCAGATCAGCAAAGCTTACCAAGCCACAGTGGGATTGTCTGTATCCTTCCCCAGGGGTGTACGGCAAGTCAGCAGATTTTGATGTTACTTTGTTGTTCAGGTTGCTGAGGACAATATGCAGCCTCACCCCTCCCGCCACCGGATGGGATGCACTTCCAACAAG